TTGTCAGATGTTTGTTGAACAAGTGATGGAGCTGATCGAGCTGAATCCCCTGAGAAATGCCTTAGTGGGTCTTCCTGGAGTTGATGGCCTTTCGACAGAGCAGAGGAAGAGGCTCACGATAGCGGTTGAACTCGTTGCTAACCCGTCCATAATATTCATGGACGAGCCAACTTCTGGACTCGATGCCCGAGCAGCTGCCATAGTCATGCGCACGGTTCGCAACACAGTCGACACTGGCCGCACGGTTGTCTGCACCATCCATCAACCGAGCATAGATATTTTCGAAGCTTTTGACGAGGTAGTTAAATAATTTTTTTTTTAAAATAAATTTTTGATAATTTCAAAACCACCCCCACAAAAGTGGAAAATTTATGGGAAGCCACTGCAGTTTTTATGAGTGTCTCGTAATTTTTACTATGTGTAGCTGTTGCTGATGAAGAGAGGAGGACAAGTTATTTATGCTGGGCCTCTCGGACATCATTCTCATCTATTAGTAGAATACTTTCAGGTGAGAATATTAATATTTAATGTATTCTGCAGACCTGTTTTTTGGGCCTGAGCTGAATAGTGATAATATGTTGTTATTTGTATACTACAGTCTGTGCCTGGAGTTCCTGAGATTAAGGAAGGCTACAATCCTGCCACTTGGATGCTGGATGTTACAACTCCTGCCATGGAAGCTCAACTTAACGTTGACTTTGCTCAAATTTATAATAATTCTGATCTTTACCGGTAGGTAACTCGCGCGCACATGAAATGATATTTTTGTTTTTTGTTCATTTTGTTTTTCCTTTTCTGTTATGACCAAGCGTTTTTAAGATCTCTTTATCTCATGCCTTCACAGGAGGAATGAAGAACTAATTAAACAACTTAGCTTGCCAGCACCAGGGTCTAAAGATCTATATTTCCCAACCCAATATGCTCAGTCTTTCATTAATCAATGCAAAGCATGTTTTTGGAAACAGCATTTATCTTACTGGAGGCATCCTCAGTATAATTCCATCAGGTTTTTTATGACGGCCATTATTGGAATTATATTTGGAGTCATATTCTGGGACAAAGGGGGACAATTGTAAGTCTAAAAAATACCTGATCAATAATATCTTATGCTCTAAGTCTCTCTCTTTCTCTCTTTGTCCATCTGTTTTTCACTCTTTTTCT